ATGAAAAGCCCCAAGTCCAGCTCTCCTGCTCCCAAACCCAAACCCAATCCCCCCAGCCCAGAGGACACAACAACCTCTTCAGAGCCTGTGGACTGGCGGGATCCCAGCCAGATGGCAAAGCTGCGGAGCGAGCTGGCAGCCTACCTCTTTGGCTCCAAGAGAGAGGACCGAGGCGCTAGTCACAGTCCAGGCCCAAGAGTGGCCTCTCAGGGAAAGGAAGGCAAGAAGGGCCCCAGCCTGCCGGAGAAGGAGGCTCCCCTCAGCTTGCCAGAGAAAGAGATGCCTCCAGGTGGTCCTGAGAAGAGTCCCTGTCCAGAGAGAGAGGTCGCTGCTAGCCTGACCCTCCCCGCTGTGGACTACATCCCCCAAGACGCTCCAACTCCTAGTGTCCAGCAGATCCGGACTGAGCTGGAGGCCCGGCTTTCCTCATCAGCGGAGAAGGAGGCCAAGCCCGGTATAAGGTCTCTGCCTCCCAAACCTCGGCTAGAAGGAAGAAAACTCTTTGAAAACAGGGCTGATAATGGCCAATCCTCCAAGCCTGTGACCAAGAATCTGCCAAGCACATCACTCCAGTCCAAGGCCACGCCTGGGCCAGCCACACCACCCAAGGCCACGCCTGGGCCAGCCACACCACCCAAGGCCACGCCTGGGCCAGCCACACCACCCAAGGCCATGCCTGGGCCAGGCATACCAGCTATAACCTCAGCTCAGCCTACCACATCATCTCACCTGACAGCAGAGAAGAACCTAGTCCCCAGTGAGAAGTGGAAGAAACCAAAACCTCAACAACATGCAAAACCTTCCCAGACAGAGGCAAAAGAGCGGCCCTCAGAGACCAGTAAGCCTCTAACACCGGGAGCCCTCACATCTATATCTGCCCCACCTATGATACCCCCTGGCAAAGAAGAGGTGACATTTCTCTACAAACCCCATCACAGCCAGAACAGCCCCAACCGAGAGGTTGCTGTGGTGATACCCACCATGGCCAGAGGAGAGGCTGCAGGGTCAGGACAGCCTGTGGAGGTGAAGGAGGCCCAGGAGCTGCCAGCCAAACCCCCAGCCTCGGCCCAGCCTGCTGATGAACTCCTCAGGCATCCAGTGACCGGGGAGGTGGTGGAGCGGGGCTCCCCCATGGCCCTGCTCCTTGCAGCCAGGCAGAGGGCACAGAAGGGGCGGTCTGGAGGGGCTGGCCTGGGTCGGTCCTCCCTGCCAGGGAGTTTCCATGGCCAGAGCGGCCAGCCCCAGGCAGGCTCTGACAGCATCTTCCTCAAGGAGGGCAGGCCCAACTCCTTCACTGTGGTGCCCAAGTTACCCACGGAGGCTGAGAAGAACCTGCAGCTGGCCTCGTCTAGTCCCTGGAAGCCCCAGCGAGGCAGAGACCCAGAGGGCACAGAGCCAAGCCGCCGAGGGCACAACTGGACCAAGGAGGAGCCCCAGGCCCCTGTGGCCTGGGAGAGATCAGCATCCTCCAACCTTCCCCAGGACCGCATGCCGCCCAAGTCCTTCTCATATCCTTCTTCTCCTTCCTACAAGAAGGAGGAGGAAGAGAAAGAGTTCAGCTTTGAGGTCATCCCACCGCCTCCAGAGTTCAGCAATGACCCCGAGCCCCCCGCCCCGGCCCTTCAGTATCTGGGCCGCCGGGTCTCCCCTTCCCGGAACAAGTTCTCAGACTTTGGGCAGCTCCTGGACGCGAGCCCCGCGGCCTCGGCAGCGCCTCGCGGCTTCTCGCTCTCTCCGGCGGGGGCGCGCTACGCAGGGACCGGAGGGTTGGAGCGCTTTTCCCGCGGAGGCAGCTCGCTCATCAAGAAGCGTCTATACGTTGGGGATCCCCACCGCAACCCCGGGCTGTCCCGGGGCGGCAGTGGCCGCAGCCTGAGCTCCCCCAATTGCTTCGGGCCTCAGCCCGGAGGGCCCTTCGGAGCCCCCGGAGACCCGGAGATGAGGCGCGTCAACTCGGCGGGCCGCGCACCCCCCGGCGGCCTGCGCACACGGAGGATGTCCCTGGAGAACCCCGCCCGCGGAGAGGCCAAGTACAAAGCTCCTGGTGGCGACCACGGCTTCACCCCCGCTACCAGCAGGTGAGCTGCGGGTAAGGGTAATGGAGGGCCCCCGGGGTGGGCAGCCAGGTGAGGTAGAGGCACTGCCCTCGGACCAGGCCTCAGCTGTCCGTCAGGGTGACACATTGGGTGTTCTCTGCTCTGGCTTTCCGGGCCTAGAGAAAGTGGGGGGAGGCACACTTTACCTGCAGAGGGCGCTTCCCTTCCCTGCTTCCTCACCTCCCTTAATCCCTCATGTTCTCGCTTTCCCTCTACTCCTGTTTCCCCCTCTTGTTGCTTCTCTCATCCAGCCCCTGGAGTCCCAGGGCTTCAGGTTAAGTGTGGGGGGATCTGAGTGGTCATTGGGGACTGGGACTTCCCACAATACAGTAGGATCCAGAGACAGGCTACGAGTGAAGAGTTCTGAGTAGAAGGGCATTAGGCATGTATGTACTCTGTGGTCAGCAGGGCCTAGACAGGACGGGGAGCCCTGTGTCTGGTGGATCAATACTGGTGGACTGGGGTCCAACCTGAGGTTGATAAGCCCCGGGCTTATGAGACAGAAACTATAGCGCTGAGCCACATCCTGGAGGAGGTGGGAGGACTTGCTGGTTAACCCGCTACAAATATCAACCTCATCTCTCTTCTGCTTCCCACCAGGTCTCCCCACAGCACGCCCCTCTACGGAAGCCCCATCAACACCTTCACTGTGAGGCCTGGGACACGCCATCCCATCTCCTATGCGTACTCAGGGGCCCATCGGAATGCCCTGTCCTGAGCCCAGGGTCCTCTCAGCTCTCCTCTAGGGGGTCGGATCCAGGCACTTGTTTTTGTGGTGGTGGGAGGGACGCAGCAGGAGTTAGGCAGCCCGACTCAGGCACAGAGGAGTCTTTGTTGTCCAAAGACAGAGAAATGGACAATGAGGGAGAAGCAGTGGCCCCGGAAAGATCCAGGAGGGGCTTCTGTTTCCGGGTGTGCCGTGGACTCTCTGCAGATGGGGGTGGGAGGGGCAAGGAGGGAGGAGAGGAGGAGCCTTTAAGGGCCTGGAGCCTGAGTTTCTGCGATCTGGTACTGTTTGCTTTAGCAAGGCTTATTTAAAGCAGTTTTACAAGCACGGCCTACTGAGCAGGTTCTGAAAGCAAGGGGCGGGGCATTCAATCTGACTGGGAACCCATCTTGGGGTGGTTGTGATTACCTGTTAGGCCCTCGCGAAATGGGGGTATAGGGAGCTATAGGTTGATTTCTGTAGCCTCCACCAGCCCACCAGTTGCCACCCTAAGGTGATTCCTGGGGCTCGTAGCATAGAAAGCACGGGAGGGGGGACCAGAAATGTGCCTGCACCACGTGTGGAGAAGGTACCGGAACAGAATGCTTTGCATTGATTGGCCAAGTGCTGGGATGGGGGATTGATGGTTCATTTTGCCCTGGCGCTGGCCTTTAGCTACAGGGAAGCCTAAAGAGAGAAGCCTTGGCAAGTTTGGGGTGGGAGACAGAGGATTAATGCTTGCTTTTCTACTTAGACCTAGGCAGCCATTGGGGATTGGGCTCAAGGAGCCAGAAGGCCTGGGACTCAACACCAAAAGCCTTACATAGCCAGGTCCTGTTGGGGGTTTGGAGGGGGGCATCATTCCCAACCACCCCTCCCAACCCTGATACTATAGGTCCCCAATATTATTGAGGCCTTAACATGTGTAGCCAAGATGCTGGAAGCCCTCGGAGAGTGGGAGGTGGCAGAGATGGGAAATGACATCTGGGAGATGTTTGCTGCCGACAGGGAATGTGTTTTGGAAAGTCAAGAGTGGTAGAACTGGGCCAGTTCAGAGCAAGGAGCCTATCAGTAGGGTGGCCATGTATCCTTGGCCTGCGCCGTTCAGGTTTATGCCTGTTTTCCAGTGAATTTAGACCCTCCTCCACTTTCAAAGAAAGTCATGGTTTGGGTGACATATGGCCGCCAAACATATCAGGAAACAGTATCCCTTGGTGTATCTTCCCTGCCTTCAGGTCTTGTGCCAAATTCCTGGGACCAGGCCAAGGCAGGCTGCCTGGGCCAGGAGGGAGGGCAGGGGAGATGCCCACCGCAGAGGAGGGCAGCCAGGAAGCAGTTCCTTTGGGGGCAAGGTGTTGGACCTTTATGATTTGTGGTAACCTATCACAAAGGTACCAGTTTGTGGGGACAGCAGATGAGCCACATCAGGAAAAGAGAGTGAAGGGTGGGCAGGCTCCCTGATGAGGCATGATCTGGTTACCGGTGTTCAAGAAGCGACACCCGCTCCAGCTCCGGCACTGGCTCTGTGTATATGTATGTATTTTCCCTGTACAATGTTTTATAAAATAGTTCACTAACTTATCTGCTGTGTTAAGGCTTGAGGGGTGAGGTGTGGGCTCCCAGCTGTAGATTGCTTGGGGGTGGGCGGGGAAGGATGGGCTCTCATTTGGCTTGGGAAATAAACAGGCCGGTTTGGACTGGCCTCCAGCTCTGTGGCTGCGGATTGAATGACTTGGACCTCCTGGGGTGTGATGAGAGGTTGGGAGAGCTCAGTGGGGAAAGGCTGAGCACAGCGTGGTGACTGAACTGGTGAGCCATTTTGCTGGGCCCAAGCTTTCTCTTCTGACCCTCTCATTCTCCAAATCCTTCAAGGGGAAGGAGTCTGGCGATAACAAATTGTGTCTTTAAGCTAGTCCTTTTGACTCTCTGAGCCTCAGTTTCTTCTTCTGTATACCAGGCATGATAATAATACCTACCTCATAAGGCTGTTGTGAAGGTTAGAGACGGTCATGAATTCATTTAACAAGTATTTGAGTGGCTACTAGATGGCAGGCACTATGCTTAGCATGGATATAATCTTGCCCATGGGAAGATTATAATCTAGTGGGGGACAGAGAGGGGATGAAAAGAACGCTCAGAAACATAAATTATAATAAGTGGGAAGAAGGAAAGGAACAGAAAGTGTGAGATTAATAACTGGAGGGTGAAGGAGAGACGTGGATTTACGTTAACCAGGTGGTCAGGGAAGGCCTGTCAAAGGGGTGATATTTATGCTGATTTAGGCAAAGCATTTAGCACATGTCTGGCACTCAGTAGCTGCTCAATAAATTGCATCTTTGGGTGATGACTACCTTACATTTGTGTGTGGCCTTTCACAGTTTCCCAGGAAGCTTTGACATGTTACCTTCAACTTCTCCAGAAGAGGAAACAGGGAACCAGAGAAGTCATCTCAAGATGGTGTCAGAGAGAGGGCTGTGTTTCCTCCTTTGAGTCCTTTTCAGGGGGGTTGTTGGGAAAGGGAGACTGGGAGGTTTACTCACTGATTTGGCAACTTGTGCCTCCAGGAAGGGCCTCCTAGGCCGCTCCCATCCTGGGGCTTCCTCGTTGTCCTGTCCCACTGTCCCCCTCCCACACATACACCGTGATGTCCTCATCCTGGTACCAGTGAGGACAGAGTCCCCTACTCCCGGTATAACTTGGGGCCCCACCTCTGGCTGCCCTCCCCTCCCCAATCTTTCCTACCTCTTCCTTCCCCTCACCTGACATGGGAGGGGCAGCAGGGAGCAATGGAGGGTGTGGGGATCAAAGCTCCACGTCTGGCTCTGCCCCTGACAAGCTGTGTGAGCTTGGGTCTCAGCTAACTTATCTCAAAAGTGATGGGGAAGGACTTATATTGTGTGTGTGTGTGTGTCTTAAGCTGTTTTGGTCCAAGACCCCCAGAAAGATGCCAGCACGTGCATTTTACACATTACTTCAGGCACTCCTCAGATACTCCCAAAATTGGGTTCCATGGACCTCACATTGAAAAGTGATGCAATGGTGATTGTGGTAACCACCGACACTTAACCTTGATGGTTTGGAAAGTACATTCGTTCTCTCCTTTATTCGCAACAATCCTCTAAAACATTGGCCTCGTAATACCCCTCATTCCGTTTTGTTGATGAGAAAATTAAGGCTCCAGGAAGAGTACGTTGCTTGGAATAGCTCTCTTTTCAACGAGGTGAAGGAGTAGCCTCCCCAGCAGACACAGAGATGCAGATCTTTGTGTAGACCCTGACGGGCAAGACCATCACACTCGAGGTCGAGCCCAGTGACACTACTAAGAATGTCAAAGCTAAAATCCAAGACAAGGAGGGCATCCCACCTGACCAGCTGCATCTGATTTTTGTTGGCAAACAGCTGGAGGATGGACTCTCTCAGCCTACAATATCCAGAAAGAGTCCACTCTGCACTTGGTGCTTTGTCACCTGGGTGGCGTCATCGAGACTTCCTTCTGCCAGCTCACCCAGAAGTACAACTGCGACAAGATCAGCTGCAAATGTTACGCCCGCCTGCATCCCCGTGCTGTCAACTGCCGCAAGAAGAAGTGTGGCCATGCCCACCACTTAGGCCCCAAGAAGGTCACATATGTCCCCTCCACCACCTCTTCCGTTCACAGGGTGGCATCCTGCCCAAATCTCTTGGCCCTGGGGTGCCAATAAAGTTTCCCTTTCATTGCTCAGGACAGCCCACCTGACTCCAAACTCTGCATACTTCATCCCAGCTGCCTCTCTCCTAGCTGTGTGCATTCTCACCCATTCATCCCTCTCTCCCCATCATATCACACCCCTCAAACTTTATCTTTCTATCAGACCAGTGATAGGGGAGGGATACAGCTAGAAGGAGGAGGGTAAAGCCAATAGAAAAGATTAATGAGCGTGGGTGGTGCAGGTGTTCCTGGATCAGGTGGGCCACGCCTTGGTTTCTGGAGCCTCCCTGGGTGTGGCCCAGGCCCCAGTGGCCAGCACCCCACCTCTCTGGTGAGGCCCAGCCCGGCCCCAAACGGGCAGGTCCCGGGGCAGGCTGTGCTGGAAGTCTGGTCCTGCAGTCAGCAATTTGTGAAGGGCTCTGTCCTCCCAAATGGAGCACAGCTTTCCTCAGGCCCCACTTATTTAAGCCGAGAGGCTTTCTCTCACTCCCGGGGAAGCCTTGAGCTCACTTTTGTGGGGAGCTGTAGGATGGAGCGGTGAGGAAGAAGCTACCTCAGTGCTGAGCTGTCAGGCAGGCCTGCCTCTGCCTGCTCACCCCACCACCTGCCTACCCCCCCATGGCCTGTGGCCGCTTTCATCTCTGCAACTCAAAGGCAGTGCTGGCGTCCCATCATTAGTCAGCTGTCCCAGATGGGTGGCCACTGATACCGGGCTGAGAACCTGGGCCTCCTCCCTCTGAAGCCCCAGGGAAGGCTGCAGAACGGTGTTGGGGCCTCTGGAGGGATTTTTGGCCAAGAAGGTTCACTTCTGGGAGGGGTCCCAAAACCAAGGCAATGCGTCATGAATGCTTCCGCATTTACGTGGGTCATCCTGTGCTCCCCTGACCAGTTCTCGGAGCCCTAGAAGCTTCCTTAAGGTTTGGCACAGACGCGTCTCTCCTCCCTTCCCTCCTGGAAAATTGTTCTCCGAGCTTCTGCGGGATGAGCTCTGATCTCTCCTCTGTTTTCCAGGCTGGCTCTCTTCCTCCATCCAGATATCTCAGCACCGTGCTTGGTCTCCAGTCTTCCTTCTCTATCTTTTCTTCTCCAGAAGACTGTTTCACCCCGCTTCTCTCCTGCACCCGAGCTCCATATGTCTAACTTGAAACATTTCCACACGGATGCCTGGCCAGCCACTCAAATTCAACCTCTCCAAAAGGCACCGTTCTTCCCTTAGTTCCTTCACACACAATTGTGAGACCAGATCGATGGCCCCCACCATCCCTAAAGACTCGTTCCTGCCTCACTACCTCTGCTCTCTGTTTCCTCAAGGACCAGCTTAGATCAGAGCTCCTGCAGGAAGCCCTCCCCAGCCCTGCACTACTCAGAGGCCCTCCCTCCACACCTCTGCACCCACTTCCCCTCACTGCCTCCTCCTTCTCCTCCCTCAGGCTCAGCTCAGACATCCCTCACCCCCAAGGCCACATCAGCTCCTGTTAAGGGCTCCCTCCTATTGGGGTTACTCGCGCCACACGTGCAGTTTGTAAACTCCACAACATAAGGAATGTCTGTCATTCATTGAAGTGCCCCCAGCATCTAGTGGTACTGAACATATGTTTGTTGGATTAATACATGTTAGTATTTAATCAAATGCTGTCAAGCACTATTTAAGTTCCTTGAGGGCAAAGGCCATGTTTCCCGTGGACTAGTGGCCACACAACCCTCTTATTTCTAGATGTGTGACCTGATCTAATGCTGAGATTCTCAGATGACACAAAGTTATGGTTTTAGGGATGGGCCTCGCAGGTTTCATCATAAAGGTGTCAAGATGCCTGGGAGTGTTTCCTGCCTAGTGGGCAGAGACATGATGACCTCTGAGAGGAGACAGGAGGAGCTGACAACCAATGGGACCAGGTGAGGTGGTTCTGGTCTTTCAGAAGGGCTTAGGGCATGGGGTCTCAGGCAGCCTTCATATCAGGGCAGGGCCCTTGTGCCCTCTGAGTGAGCCAGCCACCAGAGCTGCCAGCCCCAACCATCCAAATGGCTTCCGCTGGGTTCACTCCCCTTTTGATCTCCTTTAGGCTTCAGCGATATTATTTGGTGCTCCAGCCGACCTCACTGTGCGACAGGGACCAAGGGGAAAGGTGCTGCTAAAGGTGAACGAGAGAATGAGAAGGAACGGCACCCCCGGGGCCAGGGTGGCAGGAGCCAGTCAGGACCGACCTGCTCACTGTCCCTCCTGACCTGGACAGCCCTCCCTCAAGTGGAAGGCCTTACGGTTCCAGGTCTTGTTTTCATCAAACCGCTAGCTGCCTGCACAGGCGGGATCTCGGTACAGAGTGGGACCCAGCAGGCTTGCTGTTTGCCTCCACCTCTGCGCAGGATCATTACGCCTGGTGCCGCTCTCAGAGGTGGGACACAGCTGGCGCCCTCTCCACCGGACGCTCCCTTCTCATTCTTGAAAACGGAATTTCTTCAACCTTGTCTTCTGCAAACTGAGCCTTCTGACTCACCTTTCCGGACTACAGACGCGTTTGTTTTCTGAGCCATCCAAAGAGGGTTAGGGAGCCCCGGGCTTTCCTTCTTCCCCCCTGACCTGCCCTATCGGTGATCTTCCTGCCTTTTGGCTCAAGACTGTCCAGCATTTGTTCCAAATATCTACGGGGAACACACAACTCCATCAATTCAATTCAACACCGCTAGGGGGTGCTACTCAGTACAAGCCAAGGAGACAGACAAGAGGCTACAGTCAAGTGCAGGACACACACACACACACACACACACACACACACACACACCTGGAATACAAAGCAGGAAGACACAACGTTCTCCCACCCAGGAGAGCTGGGTGGCCAAACAGAGCAGGTGACAGAGCAGGTGACCACATGGGACACTGCTGGCTTAGCACTGTGGGTGGCCCCCCTTGCTGGCCTGTGACCAGCTCATCAAGGCTGTCCTCAGCTCTGTGACCTCGGTGGGAGCACATGCATGAGCCGGGCAGAGGAAGGAGGGCTGCCATTTGCTGGTTTGTTTTTCCTACAGAGTGTCGGACACTCAAACGCTGGGTAAAAGGTACCTGTTGTTGCTGACACAAACATACACATTGCTGTTGTCTTTCCGTGACTTCTCTTGGCTACTGAAAGCTGCCCTTGACATTCTCTTTAACCTGACTTATCCAGGGAGAGTGGAGGGGAGTGAGGAGAGGACATCTGTGTAACCTGTCCTCATGTCCGGGGCGGCTGTCCTTGCTCATGAGTCCAGCCCTGAGCCCGTTTTGTGTGTGCATGCGGGTCCTGGCTGTAACCAGCAGGTGGCGCTCTGCCCACAGGTGCCTGACCTCTAGACCAGCAGGTGGCGTTCAGATGAAGGCACTCCCTAATAAACTTCCTGCACACAAATCTCAGTCTCCTGGGGAACCTCTCCTGCAACAGCTTGTCAGGTTCCAGGCACTGTTCTGAGCATTTACACGTACTATTATTTTCTGTGATCCTCCCAACAGCCCTAGGAAGTAGGTATTTTTGTTATCTTCAGTTTATGGATGAGAAAGGGAAGAACAGAAAGGCTAAAGAACTTGCCCAAGGTCACAGAGAGAGCAAGAGGTAGAGCCAGGCAAGTGGTCAGACTCCTGAGCTCTAAAGTACATATTATACAACACTGTCTTCTAGAACGTTCCTGTGGTTTAGCCAGG